GGCGGTATAGGAAGAGAGAGATGAGAGCGAAAAAGAAAGGGTATAACTGAAATTCTTAATGGAAGGACTATTCACGATATTTGGAACTTTAAGGGGAGATGTATACAGTTTATTGAAAAAATCAAAATAAGTTTGATAACGGTTAAATAAGTATATATTATAATATCTATCCGGGGGCGAATCTATAGCCCAGTGTATGGGGCACATGAACCCATGATCTTTCCGCCAAATTAGATATTTTATGTATATATTTTTCAAAACTGGTCAAATATTACCTGCTGGCAACCATGCTCCAAAAATGTTAAATGGTCCACTTGGTTGAATGCTAAATTATTTGGCTAGAGGAACCACTACTAGAAATGCGGTAATTAGCGACCAAAAAAACCGACCAACTTTGGTCGCTTATGGCCAAAATGCGACCAAATACGCTTGGACGGTATTTTGGTGGTCGCTTTAGTATACCGACCAAAGTTGGTCGGAAATTACCGACCAACGTTGGTCGGTAAATTAAATTCAAAAAAAATATTGCAAAAAAAAAACCGACCAAAGTTGGTCGGTATTTTAGTTATGTAATCAAAAGATTCACCGTCTGGGAATCGAACCGGGGTGTGTATTGTGGCAGGATACTATTCTACCACTAGACCATTGGTGCATTTTGTTTTAAGATTGTCTTTTTTTTAATTTATACTCTTTAATTGTATTTTCGCACGAAAAAAACTGACCAAAATTAATCGGTTTTATTAAAAAATAAAATTACCGACCAAAGTTGGTCGGTTTTTTTAAAATGACGGCCGAATTTACCAACCAAAGTTGGTCGATTTTTTTAATATTAATTATTATTTATTTTAATTGCAAAAACCGACCAAAGTTGGTCGGTTTCTTGAAAAATAAATTTCGCGGGACTCAAAAATAGTTTCCCGCATTTTTACGCCAAAGAAAATCGACCAAAGTTGGTCGGTTTCGTAAAAAAAAATTAAAAATTACAATATTTTGAAAAGCTGACCAACTTTGGTCGGTTTTTGGCCGGTTTTTTTACCGACCAAAGTTGGTCGATTTTTTTTGATCGATTTTTGCCGAATTTCTAGTAGTGTGTGTTTAGCGTCAGAAGAATCATTCTAATTAATTGGTTGATAATGAGGCGTGTTAGAATTGATTTTGTTGAGTTATCTTAGGAGTGTATCACGCTAATTGATTCTGTTTCCGTTATTAGACAGCTGGACAAACCTATTTTTAAGGTGCTTGTCGTTGTTGCATTCATGAATACATGGCTCGAATACATGTAAATATAGTCGCGTATAGCTGTAACCCCCTGTTTTTTAGGCGACTTTAGCTACTATATTCACGAATACAGTAGCATGAATACAATGAATACACTACCGTAACAACTGAATAATAACTATAGGAAGTAATTACTTATATGGTAGCTATAGGAAGTTAATAGCCACTAAACAATAGTGGTTTCTGAAAAATTCTCGAAAAAAATCATATAGCCAACAAAATTTCTTTAAAAATAAGGCGCATATAGCCCACCCGATTTGTTTGAAACTGGGCTTTGTTATTGTATACCAATATTCACCAATAAGTGTAACATGTTCCTATGTGCTTTCTAGATATATAACAATGCATAACTGTAAGTTTTGAACGCTTTTACATTTCGCGAATTAGCGTTTCATTTAGGACAGCAGATGAGTTTTCTTTTTTAAGAAATAAGTTACATGTATGAAGTACTTCAAACAAATTACTCAGTGTGTTCTGCGAGTGAATAAAGAAAACACTTTGTAGTATAAAATAAGTGCTGCGTAAGTTGTTCAGCATCATCGATTCATGAAATACTCTAAACGAACATTTCACAAAATACATAGAACTTCTTTTCCGAACCTTCTACCAAAAACAAAAAACAAAATCATTTTACATAGAACTGATTCAAAAGAAAGTGGTGCTTTGAAGCTGAAGAAGAACATAACATAAAGATTGGTTGGAATGTTTTATACAGCGGTTGCCGGTTGCTAAGTTGATCGTCGAAAGGCTGAAGATGGATCATGAGCAACCTGGTATCAGCTATACAATTAGCCTTCATTAAGGGAAGCAGATCACGGATGCCATTGTAATTGCAAATGTGTTTGGATATGAGGGGAGGGGGAGGGGGGGGGGGGGGAGAAGAAGAATACCGTCTGTGTTTTATGCAATTAGGAATTGAAAAGGCTTTTTTATCATTTCAACTAGAGTACGTGGTAAACCTACCAAGGAAGTAGGGTATGCAAACTCGGATCCATTATATCCACTTGTGCATATCCTCAATCAAATATTCCATCACCATAAGTGGAAAGCCTGAAGGATTCTTTCCATCTGGAAGGGCATAAGACGAAGAGAACCCTCATCTCCCTTTCTCTTCATCCTAGCTATGAAAGGCCTTGGCATGATACTTAAGGCTGCATTCAGAAGGATTGGACTAGTGGCCAGTGGGTTCAATGTGGGTGGATTGCGGCAGAATCAGATCATAATATCCCACATTTTGTACATAGATGACACCCTTGTTTAATCTGATGCAGATGAAAAACAATTAAGGCATCTGAAGAATCGTTGTTTGAAGCTGTTTCTAACGCCTCCATATTATCTTGAGCAGAAACTGCATATACACTGTCAACTCTGCCCAAGGACTTCAAAAAAATGACAGTGTTGGTTGCAGTCTAGAGTCCCTCCCAACTACTTACTTGGGACTGGTTTTAGGAGCCAATCACAAATCTAGAAAAGGGTGAATGGGGAAGTTGAAAGAAGACCCTCGAATTGAAAAAAGCAATACTTGTCCCTTGTGGATAAGATGCACTCATACATGATGTCCATCTTTCCGGCTGTATCCATGCAACGAAGATTTGACAGAGTGAGAAGAATTGTCTGTGGTAAGGCAATAAAGAGAGGAGAGATTATCAGTAATCATCTGGGACACTGGAAAAAGGATATAAATCTTGAATTAATCCTGAGAGGTCTTAGTAAGCGCTTCTATAAAAAAGGTTGTGGAGATACAGCAATAATGATTACACTTTGGAGAAATATCCAAGCAAAGCTTGGCACCCAGAACCCTTGGTGTACCAGGCCAAGTAGCTACACGTATCGGATTGGTGTCTAGAGATGCATCAGAAACTTATAGAAAGAGTTTTGTGCTAAGACTCACTTCAAAGTTGGAATGGAAGGACGATATCCTTCCGGCAGATGAATGTCAAGACATTGCCCCCTTTATAGAGCAATTTCCTGCATTATTCTCTTTTGCAGCTAACTCTGAGATACAGCGGGCCAATGACACTCCACTGGCAGGAAAATATGGTCATAAGAAATTATTTTATTGGGAGTTGGACTGCACAGAAAAAGTCCTCAGAAGATTAGAAGAAGTCCAGATTTCTTCAGAACATTTAAATGTGCAATTGTCAAGGCAAAAAATTGCATTTTCACAATAGAATCTTGCTTCTGTAATCTCCTCTCTATCCAACATTCAATGACATGGAAGAAGAAACAGAAAACAAAAGCACCAACTACAGTTGCTTGTTTTTAGTAGACACAAAACAAACTACAATGAAAGGGTATCACTCTGCAGGTAATACTTCCTGTTTGAAGTAGATAATAGGACATCTTTCTACTTCTACACTACCCCATAATAGCCCGATTATTGGGTCTTTCGTAAATGTTCTTAGAGTAGATTGAGCTATGCCCAGACAGTAAATGTAACTTCTGATGTGCTGGACTGGATGGAGTTCTAAGCAGAGAAAAGAAGATCTGGAACCCTTTACCGCTACTATTTTGCAGGTTCTCAAGAAGGAAGGAATTCTATGATATCTTGACGGGAAGGCTCAGTCTGTACATAACCTGAAGCATAGGTCTTTGTACCAATTAGCTATGTGGTGCAAACTCAAAAATATATATGAAGTAGATTCATCGATTGAATTTCTAACATTTATACAGGAATAGATGTAAGATCAAGCATAACTTTTGTACTCTCCCAATATTATGTTAGTGCTGGTTTTTGCACATCAAAAAACAATATTTCATTGCCAATAAATTATCAGGGAAGATTCTGTTACAGTATGTCAAACCAAAGGCCAGCACTTCCTACATGCTTTGTTAACTACTGCAGTTGGCTTCACAAGAGAGGAAAGAGCTTTGTATATGATAGAGAAAAGCAAGTAAAGACTGCCACCTTTGGTTCTTACAAGGAAATCCATCCGCTAAACCATAAGTCAACCTACACTACATATAATGAGAACAAAGGTTACAATAAAAGGATTACATAGTGAAATGCAGTAACTAGTCAGATGCCACTGGATAAATGACAAGTAATTTTAATCAGGGGGTGACCAGGAAGCAGCCGCAGCAAGTGCAACTTAAGTTTTGCCAGTACAAATATCTCTAATTCATGCATATTTACGGCAAGAACAAACTAAGCATGTCCTTGCAAAAGCTAGAAGTGATTAAAACAAGACTGCTGACCTTCAACTTGGAAATTGATCATCATGATAAGACATCTTCACTAAGTGCTCTCAGGTTGTTTTGGAGAGCCTTCAATGGCCTTTGCGGCTTCTATAGCTGAGTCTCTTCTACTAATGACTTTTGAAAGCTCCTCAACCTTATCCTTCAACATGCCAACACTAGAATTGGTCGAGTGAACCAACTTGTTTGCAGTCTCCAGAGCAGTGCATAGCTAGAATGCAATAAAGAAGCAAAATCTCTTAGTAAAGTGAAAACATACACAGAAACAGATTTAGAGTCTCTCTCTCTCTCCTCCCTCTCTCTCTCTCTCTCTCTCTTTATTTTATTTATTGGATAAGAACAGATTTAGAGTCCATTTTGGTATCAAAATGGGAAATCTGGAAATGAGCCGATGTGAAAAGGGAATTGTGAGACCAATTACTACATCTGCTTATCCTCCGTCTACCTATTTTGGTAATAATAGAAGCATAGACTATATACGATACAAAATTAATACTCCAAGTCAAACATGAAAAAATGCACAGCTGTAAATCATAAGGTCACTAGATCAATTGGTACATATTACTGCAGCACCAAATAAAGTTGAATAAAAATATTTAAGATCCTGAAGATTAACATATAAAAGACATTGTGTCTCAATCTTTTGGTACTCTGTTCCTTATCGAGGTATCCTCTATAACTTCTCCTATGATATAACATTTATTACCTCCAGTGTGAGATGCGTCCATGAATTATCTGTACCAGCAAGTGCTTTGTTCAGCTGCTCATAGTTTTTCTAAACAATAAGCAAAACATTAAGTTGATATATAACTAAAAGATCTAAAGGAAGATTAATACCAGTGTAATCAGTAAGTAAAACGAACTCCTAGACATCACATTATATCAAGTAGTGCTTTTAACAGACACCATAGAATAGCAGATTGTTCCCTTCCAAAACAAACTAACACCGAATACAGTGATATTAAACTTCCCCAATTGAGGTGCGAACTATCCTAAGCTAGGCTGAAGCAGGAAAACAGGTGAAGAAAACATAGTTCTCTGTGTCACACAACAACAAAAAACCCAGTTTAATTCCAGAAGTGAGGTTTGGGAAGGGTAGTGTGTACGCAGACCTTACCCCTACAAGGATTTTTATCTTTATCAAAAAATCCTAGTAATATTTGCTGATCAATTGTCTCACCACATTTGCTGATCAAAATCAATTGCTAGTAATATTCGCAATGTAGGTTTTAGCAAGGTCATGAGAGGATTTTATGTTTATCAAAGAAAGTTCCCTTGCATTTCTTTTCTGTTTATCATCCCATCATAGCCTAACTTTCATCATTAAGAACCAAATGCTTGAAGGAGAACTTGTAGACCTTAACCATCAACTTAATTGCAGCTGTAAGAAAATAACTGATTTCGAACACATTGCTTTCGCATACATCAGAATTTTGACTCTGAATAGATTAGAAAACGCAAACACGCAGATTGTAATATAATGTGGTGCATGCAGTTTCCAACCTCCTCATATTCCCCAAACAGTAGTGTCAGAATTCCTGTCGCAGCAATTCCTATTGTCTACTGCAAGCTTTTAACTAACTTCAGAGATAAATATCAGTTTCCAGAGCATTTGTACAAAATTATAGCACTAACTAAAAATAATTTTGTGGAATAAATCCTGGCAGGAGCGTTTCCCCTTTAATAGAAGTTCTGGCGCGAATCCTGATTAATCGGGGACCCAAAGTGATATCGGACATTTTATCATTGTCTGAAACTACATAGGGGGGAGTAGTCTAAAAAGACCTAACATCACTCGGAACTAATGCAGAATTAACTATGTTAGTATTTTGGTTTGAACTCTTTCGTTCACATTCACCTAGCTTATCATCAAAGAAGTTTGAAAAAAGTTAGTCCTAAAAGATAAATTATAGGACGAAGCAACTAATAATAAGAACGAGAATAAAATTGTATATGTGTAACTATAGGAAGAGAACCTGGAAAAGGTTGTTCAGATCGGAAGGTTGGAGGCTGGATTTGTAGTCCGGTGAAGGTGTTATGGTGGGGCGCGGTGGAAGCTTATCACTGCCGGCTTCACTTTCTCCGACGTCGCTGAGCAGATCGCCGATGCATAACAATGGCCCTCCCACCCCTCTCATCTCTCTCTCTCTCTCGGTTTGGTCAAGAGCCGGTTTGATGGATTGGCATATTTCAAACCAAAGTAAAAAATAATTTGTGGAATCCATAACATAATTTGCACTATATTTTAAATTCAATATATTTTAATCTAAATAAATTTATTGGGCTAATATAATTTGAATATAGGAAAACTTCATTCCTATGCACTATATGAAACTTTATTACAAAAAATATCCTTGTTAACAATATTACCCGCCCTGGACACGTTTTTCCTACAAAATCTATACAAATCATTTAAAAAAGAATCCTTTCTGCTGTGACATTCCTTTTTTTAAGAGCGAGAATTTGGGATAGTAAAGGATTCTACCGACATTTTTTGTAACGCACTAATCGCCATTAATTAAGCCTGAAATTATTCTGNTAGATCAAAATAAGTATTGAATTTCATTTGTTCTATAATTTTTCTACAATATTTGTAAATAAAAACTACATAACATGTGTATATCAATTGTTATGAATATGTAAGTCTTGAATTTTATTGTTCTACAATTTTACTACAAAATATCTACAATATATATCATAATTGTATTTAGCTTTAATTGATTGCAGGTTCATCTGGAACACTGAAGTTGATTGATATGCCAACATCTCCGGCGATAGTGGAATATGAAAGTACAATCATAACAGAAAATACACCAACTGTTATTGAAGTAGGCCAAGTATACAACGACAATCAAACAATTGCTAGTGCAATGAAGCACTATTCTGTCATGAACAAGTTTCAATTTAGGGTGAAAAGGTCTAGTGCTAGAAGGTACGAACAGTTCAATGGTAAAAAATTATGTCTTTGTTTAATTTGTAATTTTTTTGTATTTTTTTGTTCTTAAGTGTTTGTAATATATTTGTATACAAATTATAGATAATTTGTAGTTTTTTTGTATATAAGTTGTTAAACACAAGATTTTCATGATTAAACAACCTAATTTTTGTGTATCTACATTTTTCGTACCATTGTTTAAATTGTTTTTATTCTGTAGCTACTGCCTGGTATGTGTTGGGGAAGATTGTACATGGCACTTCAAGTCCACCAGCATAAATGATTCAGCAATGTTCAAGATTCGAAAATTCAACAGCTTGCACACATGCTCTTTGATGGACAATACATACATACAACGTAAACCTACTGCCATGGTAGTGGGTAGCATGGTTATACCAAAATATGCTGATCCTAAGACAATTTACACACCAAAAGACATACAAATTGATATATTGTCTGAACACGGCATGAACTTAACATACATGCAAGCTTGGAGAGCAAAGGAAAAGGCTTTGGAATTTTTGAGAGGTTATCCTGTTGACTCCTACAGTCAATTGCCTAGTTATTTGTATATTCTGGAGAAGACTTATCCAGGGTCGGTAGTTAAATTGAAGAAGACCGACGATGATTGTTTCTTGTATGCATTTGTTGTGATTAGTACGTCAATCAATGGTTGAAAATATTGTAGGCCAGTTCTAGTAGTTGATGGGACCTTCTTGAAGTCAGCATACAGGGGAATAATGCTAACAGCTAGCACAATGGATGCAGCAGGTATTGTAGATTTATTGTAGATATATTATTGAAAATTTGTTGTTTGTATGTATTTTTCTTTATCTACAGTTTTGTGATGGAAATTGAATTCCTTTTTGCCGCATATGATATGTAGCATATTACCACTGGCATATGCTGTTGTTGATTCAGAAAATGATACATCATGAAAGTGGTTTTTTGAGCAATTCAAACATGCATATGGTGAAAAACCCAATATGTGTGTTGTTTCGGATCGGAATGAGAGTATCTTGAAGGCAACATCTATTTTTTATACCGGCATGCCACATTATTCTTGCATGTGGCATATTTGGACAAATATAAGGTCAAAGTTCAAGAAAGGTCATTAAAGTTAAGCGAATTGTACTTTGCCACGTCACGATCATACACGCTGGATGAATTTAATGAAAGAATGTCAAAGATTGAAGAGATCGACACGCGTGTTAAAGCATACTTATACGATATTGGCTACCACAGATGGTCTCGAGTACATGCTACAGTGAACAGAACTTGGACCATGACATCAAACATTACAGAGTCATTGAATGCGGTAACAAGAGATGCAAGAGAGCTGCCGATAATAGAACTATTAGAGTACATGAGGACTCTTCTTGAACGTTGGACTAATGAAAAGTTATTGAAAGCAAAGGGTACATTCACATACCTTGGGAAAAAATACAACAAAGAGCTGGAGGACAACAGAACATTGTTGCAGAAGCTTAGAGTAAGTTATATCCAATAACTTCTGATCAATTATTGTATCAAACTAAAATATTAACAGACATTGTAGATAAATTTTTGAATAATTGTAGTTATTTCGTATATGTAGCTGATAGTTTGTTGTGTTTTTGTAATGTAATTGTAGGTGAAGGCTTCAACAGATCACATCTATACAGGGATAGATGTTGTGAAGCGCTATATTGTTTGTCTTGAAAACAAGAGATGTAGTTGTGGATAATTCCAGCTTGATGAACTTCCTTGTGCACATGCTTTGGCTGCTTTAAGGCACATGAATGAGTCTTATGAAAACTATTGTTCTCCTTATTACACGAGGGAGAGCCTCTTGCATACTTATGAAATACCAGTAGACCCGCTGCCTGATGAAAGCAAATGGAATGTGCCACAACATATAGCTGAAGAAGTTTTAATCCACCTACCGGGAAAAGACAGTCAGGAAGACCTCAAAAACAAAGATACAGAACATATGATGAAGTAAATGCAAAGAAGTACAAGGTTTCATGTGACAACTACGGAATAGAAGGGCATAACAAAAGATCTTGCAAGAATGCTCCCAAGAAGAAATAAAATTTGATATAGTTAACAGATTTTTTGATAAAAAGTGTTGAGGTGTTCAGGAGAATTATAGTTGAGGTGTAATTGTGTTGATAAATTGAGTAAAGACTGTTTCCTATAATGAAATGTTTTCAACTCTTAATGTAGTTGTTTTGTTTAATTACTGAGTGTATTGAGTTCAGACGTTCATAACTTGATTGGATTATGAATGATTTGTATCTATAATACACAATTATTTAATTATCTATAGCACAAATCATTAGTAAATAATGATTCTTACAATTTATCTTCAAAAAATCTACAAAATAATTACATAATCTGGAGTTGACAGAATAACTACAAAATAATTAAGTTCTAAAGGAGTTTTATGCTAACAATAGTGAGATCAAGTACTAATAACTTTCAACCAGTCAAGATAAAAACAATAGAATGTTTCCTATTGTTAGCACTAGTATCCTGGATAAAATAACAAAACATAAGGTAAAATAATTGTAGCACAAATCTACTACAATTAAAATTCAACAAACTTGTTCATAAGTAACAATTTGTCTACAACCTTTCTACAAAACCAACTGCAACTAAACAATTTAACTACATTTTTCCTATAGAAAATGTCAACTAATTCTTCTTTTTTTCGGACTTGTGTTCTCTCGTTCACAACTGGTGCACCCTTTTTCCTTCCTAATCTGCCAGTCACCTCGCTCTCACTAATTGCACCAGTATCTTGCTTCTTCCTAGCGTAGTCCCACAGTAGCGCTCCATAGCGTCTACGATGTTGATAATATCAGAAAGGTCATCGTTAGAAACTGTTAGGTCTCCAATGCTGGCATACTCTGCAAATGCAGCAACGAATACACCACAGTCACTGCAAAAAGAAAAATAGGGAAAATATTTAGCATACCATGAGCAGAAAAAAATCTATTAAATAGATAGAAGGAAAAAAAGTTTTTTCATACAGTGATCCCTCTTTTTGCTGTGATATCTCACCGACTAACCACTGAATGTCAATAGGGTCAGTAACACCTTTTTCAATGTATGCCTTTGTGTTCTTGAAGTTGATGTCTGGACGCTTGCATAGAAACCGGTGCATGACAAGTAAAGGGGGATCATAAGAGCAAACTTGGTGACAACAGATTCAACAATGGTGTGATTATGTGAAGAGACCATAGAATTATACACACAAAGAACCCTATCGATAATGTCAAGAAAAACCAACAACCAATAAAAATTTTCTACAATGTTGATGGGCATGATCACGAAATCAACTTGATCCCATGCGATATTTGCGAGTAATCTGTACCCCAATATGTATTCTGCTACGACGTCCTGGGGTTTGATAATAACAAACTTCTTTTCGGGAGGAGCATTGATGTACCTCTGATAAATTTGTTCAATTCTAGTCTTGTACATACAATCAGTGGTTGTAAACCTTATCTTGTTGTGGGGACCATACTTTCCTCTTTTTCTCAAGTAGTACAAGATAACATCAATGTGCTGCAACAAAAACAGATTTAATTTGTTATTAATCATTCTTACAATTTATCTACAATATATCTACAAATAACTACATAGTTTGGAGATGACATGATAACACAGCTATTCA